CGTTTTCAGAAATTTCCTCAACGAGTTCAATAGCAAGACCATCCAGGACAGCAACATAACCCTCTATGACCTGAAGGTCAAGTATCTCTCCACTCTTGAAACACTGACCCAGGGCCTGGGTCGGGAGATTATTGAGCCCAAGAGCCTGAAAGTATCATCTGAGAGCGAGGGATCTTCGGCCCACACACATCCTTTGGGGGATGACGGACTGGGCTATGAAGTGCAAGTGTCCGGAATCACTGGGATCTCCTGGAGGAGAAAGCCTGTACCAGTGAGTTTAGCGCTTTAGGTTTTGTGAGCTTGCAGATTTGTAATATATTACAAATTTATCAGCAATTCTGGATTTTATGTCATGGATTGTTTCAATTCTGTTTTTTGTTTTTTTGTCTTGAATCCTTTTTGAATAGAATCTTCTGATAGTGAAAGACAAAACCAAATCTAAAAAGAACAAGGCTGACAACAAGCAAAAGAATGACAAAAGGAAAGACAGCGCATGGACACTTTTCTCTGACTTTTACGAAATCACCCACATCGTCATTAAGGAGTCTTGTGTCACAATTTACAGACAAGACAATAAAACCATGGTAATTTTGTCATTTCAGTTTCTGAAAAATGCATTTCATTGGATGAAGTAGATAGTAGTGACAGGTATGTTATAGTTCTTATCCTACAAAGGTATTCCTCTCCTTTGCTTCACAGGAGTTGGACCTGTTTTATCGTGATGCAGCTTTGTCCTTTGCTGCACTGGTTGATGGTTACTTCAGATTGACTGTAGATGCTCATCATTACCTGTGCACTGAGGTCGCACTCTCATCAGTGGTCCAGAATTTAGAAAACGGCTGTCATGGACCTATCTGGTATGACCATATTAGCATACTTTGGTTATAGATGTCCAAATCAAGGATCACACAGATAGTTTGAGGAAATATTTTCATTATATACTGTACAGTTCAAAAGTTCAGGGTCAATAAGATTTTGTTTTTGGAAAGAAATTAATTCTTGATGCAAGGATGCATTAAATTGATCAGTAGTGACTTTTACATTGTCACAAAGAAAAGTCTTTCAGTAAATGCAATTCTTTTGAACTCTCTGTTCAGCCAATAGTCCTAAAAATGTATCACTGTTTTCACAAAATATTAAGCAACACAACTGTTAATCTTAACATATATTGAAATGGAAAATAAATTGTAATCATATTTCACACTATCACTGTTTTTACTCTATTTTTGATCAAATAAATGCAGCCTTGGTGAGCAGAAGAGACTTCTTTTAGTAACATTAAAATGTTTTGTCCTCAAACTTTTGAATGGTTGTGTAAATGCTGCGGTGTCACAAGACCCAGTCTAACAATAGTCACACATTGTTAATATCACTATAGTAATTAAATATAAGTACATAAGTATATTTCTATGACCATTGTAATGTGACTCTGTAAAGTGTTACCAGTTTAGTATCATTGCTATTTGTCAAGATGCCCATTTTTACAAGTATAAGACTTTCAAGAATGTGCTTGTGTATCAAGTAGCATAGACATGACACAAGTATGAATAATGGATCAAAAACAAGAAGAATTCTGTGGCAATAAGAAATGTTATACTGCTCGACAATGAAGTGAAGATGCATTTGGTTGGGTTTATTTAGTGAAAATGGTGGTTAATATACTGTAGGTGCTTGTCTAACATAAACAACTAACAGTTCATGAGTTGGATTTGGTGGAAATTAAATTCGATAGCACTTTGTGTTATGTCTACGCACCTTGTAATCATGGTAAAATAATGTTTGGCTTTTCATTCTGTAGTTATTTAGTATTTAGTATTAGTTTGGATTATAACAGCTGTCTTCAGGAAAGTAATTTTGCGACTAGTTCTGTCTGTTGTCTCTACAGCACAGAGTATGCTATTCATAAACTTCGTCAGGAGGGAAATGAAGAAGGAACCTACGTCTTGCGCTGGAGCTGCACAGACTATAACTGCATCATCATGACTGTTGTCTGCATTGAGGTACACACACACATACATACACCAAACACAAAAGTCTACAGTCGGGATAAACATTTTTGTGAAATCAGTAAGCTGGGAACTGAAACCCTTTGTCCCGTTTGTCCTTATTGGACAGGACAAGTCTTGAATTGCCCAGATTTTCTTGTGGTATTCTCTGCACGAAATCAAGAAGATCTGGTTCTTGTTGCACACTCTCCCTGACCATGACACATGTGTTCATATGAAATATAACACTTATTCTCTGTCAAATATTGCAACACCACAAATGAGTGTGAAAATGCTTTTCAGAAGTTGGCCATGAATAACAATTGGGATCTTGCTTTAGTGTTTGCAGCTTTGAGAACAATTTTTTTTTTTTTGACTAGATCAATCATCAGACCAAGACAATGCATCCATTTTCAGATTTTCTTGGCAGTTATTATTTAATGTGAGAACTGTATTACACTGTATAAGTAGCTGGAGCAGAACCACAAACCGCATTGGGGCTGTTACACATGCTGGATCAGAGACTGATGTTTCCTTGCATTGCTTTTCGTGACAACTCCCTTGTTCAGCATGCTATACAAATAGAATTGAGTTGATTTAACAGAGCTGAACTGTACTGATCAACAGAAAGTATATGAGTTTGTTAAATATATATGCAGGATTAACAAAGAAACAAGTAAGTAAATGCACACATAGTGTCATGCTAGGTTTTCTGTAAGTTTAATGTTATCAGCATTATGTGCAATGTATCTAGTCGCCTTCAGAAACCCAACACCTCACTGCCAACCAAAAGCAAACTTAGCTTATCTTAAGGGAGCTCGGTTTACAGCCACCCAACATTTGTTTAACAAATCCTGTTCTCTCCCTTCACTATTTGTCTCATGCACCATTCCTCTTGGCTATTTCTTTTGTGCTTAATCATGTTTTTTCCCTTTTTGTCTGTCTCTCATCTATTTCTTCTCTCTCTTTCAGATGGACCTATGTGAATCCAGGCCTGTTCCCCAGTATAAGAACTTCCAAATTGAAACTAGTCCGCAAGGTTACAGACTGTATGGGACAGATACATTCAGGCCTACTCTGAAGGAGCTTTTGGAGCACCTACAGGGCCAGAACCTGCGCACAGAGAACCTGCGCTTCCAGCTGCGTCGCTGCTGCCCACCACAACCCAGAGGTACCAGCACTCGTTCTGCTCAATCTGTCATGTGATAGAGGACCATCTATGCAGTATCATTGAGAGATGCAGATAATCCATCCATATATTCCATCTCAGTCAAACATTCATTTATCCATCCAAATCAAACATCTCGTACATCTTTCTGTCTGTCCATTCAGTCTGGCCATCCATCCCAATTGAACACCTCCTACATTGGTCCATCTAGCCGGCCAACCATCCATCCCAAATATGTGATACATTGATCTGTCTATCAGTCCATCCATCCCAAACCCCTCATACATTGATTCGCCTGTTCGTCTATCCGTCCATCTCAAATGCTGATAAAATCTGATGTTGAAATTAATTTGATTGTTTTACTGACAAAATTTTTTAGAGATTCCTGCTTTCATATTATTTGTAGTCTGAAGTGAAGCCAAACTGGAACTGTGTTTTCATTTGATTTAAAGTAAATTTAATGCACAGCCTATTCAGATAGGCTGGGGTTTCCACTAGAAAAAGCCCCTAAAATTCTCTCTGTGGAGCCATTGTTAGATTGCAGTCCTAACACATTGTCCTATGTGAATAGTGCTGTCTTATGCTGAAACTGAAATCAGAAGTCATTGCTTTGCCAAGTTTACTAGAAGCTGCTAGCTGAATTGTCAGGATTTTCCAGTGTTCAATGTGAACTGGTGCCCGATGAATGGATCTCAGTGTTTTCTTGAAGGGGATTTGTTAAATTGTTGAGTTATGAGGATGTGAAAATTTTGGTGTGGTGTGTGAAATACGCTATTGAAATCTGCAGATGACATATTTACTAGCCTTTTATTTTCACCCATAATTGGTACCTCTTGCATCTGTTAAAATACCAGCCAATACCACCAACCACAATTTTGTGTTAACATAAATTTTCAACATGACAGTTCAGTTGAGTTTTCAGTAAATATACAGGTAAAAAAATTAGGCAAATTAAATATAAAAAATACATCTCCGTAAATAAGTGCTGATAGTGTAAACAGACTAGAAAGAGTGATTAAAAAAAACTTTGACAGTTCTCCAAGTAAACTAGATTATCATAAGCTTTAAAGACTTGGTATGATGCTGTAACAGGAAAAGACATGCCTTAATGAAGTTATCTATTTGACAGTCTTTGACTTTTTGGAGCTTGAATATTCTTTAGAGTTTTCTTTTCTTGATTCACAAATAGAAAGACAGTTCTGAAACAACACAAGGATGAGTGATGAGAGATGACAATAGAATTCCCATTTTTGTCTGAACAATCTCTTATTGTATGTGTTTTAATTAGCATATATAGCTAGAATGGTACATTATATCATAGGAAATTAATTAAAGTAACTTTGTAAAATTGTTAAGTGATACCTTTCTATCTTTCGTAAATACAGGATTTAGATCGTGAGTAATGATGAACTTAGCAAATGCATTGTGGGGCAAAATTAGAATTTCCCACGATCATACATTTCCACGACTAAGTACACAAATATGTCAGGTCAAGTCAAGTCACCTTTATTTATATAGCGCTTTTAACAATACAGATTGTGTCAAAGCAGCTTTACAGTATCAACTAGGAAAATAGTGTGTCAATAATGGAAAAGGACAATAGTAAACACAAAATGTTCAGTTAAAGGCAGTTGGTTACTCAGCTGTTAATTTCCTTTACCCTACTTGCACTCATAAAAACAGAGCTCAAATAGCATTCAAATACATCGGGAATACAGAAACATTTGATTTTGTGTCGAATGAGAGACGCAGCGTTGGTTTCAGTTTTATTTTAGCCTAAATGAATTTGTTTTGGCTTGTTGTTTATATAGCTAGCTTCTTATATTTTTATTCTTGTTCTTTTCTAAGTACTGTTAATTGAAAGGTTTTGTTGTGGAGTGAGGGGAACTAAAATAGCATAGCTATATGTTGACAGTGTGTATTATAATATTTGTAAACATTTTGCGTCGGCATTAGGCCTATTTCCTGTTTTTTTTTTTCTCTCTAAAAAACAAAATTTTTATATACGCGTAGTGTATTTTAACCATGCAGCAAACCTTTTTAAATATTTTGATAAATTACTGGGAAAAAAAAAAAAACGTTTTTAAACCGTTTAACTGATTGTATTAATCGGTCAAAAATTCTTACAGTCGGTTAACGGTTAACCGGTTAAAATGAACATCCCTACTGCTGACGTAGAACACACATGCGCTGCGCCTTGTTTACATTCAGATCACAGCACGTGCGTGCGTCCTGATACTCTCCAAAATGGTGCCAGGATGATGCAGAGGAAACAAATTGTTGAATAAAGTCTTTATTTTTGTTTTCTTTGCACACAAAAAGTATTCTCGTAGCTTCGTAAAATTAGTTGGTAGTACCCTTGCTGTCTATGGGAGGGCCAGAGAGCACTCAGATTTCATCAGAAATATCTTCATTTGTGTTCCGAAGATGAACAAAGGTCTTACGGGTTTGGAACAACATGAGGGTGAGTAATTAATTACAGAAGTTAAATTTTTGGGTGAACTATCCCTTTAAATGTGAAATTAAAACTGTCAGCAGGTGGCAGCAAGTCACTATTAATAAGTGAGTCATTGCGATTGATCCGAATGATTTAAACGGTTGATTCATTCAGGAAAGAAACTCTGTCATGTTGCTCAGAGATGCAGTGCTGTGATTATGTTTGGAATTATTTTTGTTGTCGAAATATAGCAAAAACAGGCAATATGGTGTCTAAAGCATAAGTCTCTTAAATATTAACTTCTTGTTTACTGAACTGTTGTATAAAATCAATATCACATTTGTAATCATACTGGATTTTGGAGAAAAATGGCTATCTGCGTGTGATATTGATTTACTATATAAAATTATATAGATATATATATTTTCTGCCCTGATGTCTTGAATTTTGTAATCATTTTAAATGCATTTTTACAGACTGAATCATGCAGTGAAATAACGCACTCTAAACGCGCACTAGTTTAACCTTCATCACGTAATGCATGCGTGCACTCTGTAGGTGTGTTTTGTTTGGATTTTGCGAAATATTCGATAATGTCAAATTGCACATCGTTAAAACAACAATTACGATATTATCACAGACGACATTGTATATCGCACACCTTGTATAGTTCAAGCACAATAAAAGTTTTACTATTTGGAATGAGTGGCATTTTGAATTGTGCGAACCAGACTGCTAAGAATTCCAACTGCAACATTTTCCAAACTGTATACTTAATAGAATGAATTTCTCTTCTTGAATATGCATTTTTTTGCATCTTCATCTCACTAAAACCAAATGTTTCTAAGTCTCAGAAGCATGAACATCCCTACAAGAATCTTTAAGTGGTTCAAGCTGAAAGAGGAATTATCTTTTTTGTAGTGCTTTGTTAGTGTCACAATGCTCTCTGGAGAAGTCAAATATCACCATGCACGTGCATGCAGTCATATCCTCATATGACCTCGGGCAGCTGTGCATCTGGCAGCTAATAGTTGTGCAGTCTCAACTTTCAGCCAACCGAGCCAGGATCAGATCCTTTATCCAGTTAACCATCAGTTGGATCCCCAGCCTGACCGAGTTAAGTGTTCCTAAGGGAGTGTGACAGATAAAGTCCAATAGTAGAGAGTGCGTCTCTGGATTCTGGTGCTGTAAGGTCAAGGTGCTCTATGGTCTAGGGTTTATCACAGTCCATCAAAGAATACTTCAGAATGACCATGGCACTCTTGTGAATTAAAAAGCCTTTATTATCAAATGGCTACATCCAAGAAATCTAAAAACTCCAAAAAAACTGTGACAGATGTCTGTGTAATGCAGAGAAACCAGGGTCCAAATGTAACTTTTCGCCACTTCTTCCAATATCAGATCAATTCATGTAAATATTTGTCTTTAAATTGTGATTCAGTGAATCGGTTTAGTGATTTTGTTTGTGTCATTACACAAAAATGTTCACAGAAAAAGTTCAGGTATTAAAATGTTTTTGGAAAAATTATATATATGAAAAAATACTGCAGTTTATTGAGATTTTTTGGTATAGTGGTACATATGAATCCTGAGGTACTAAATATCCTCCTCCTTTGAGTGCTCCATCAGTATTTGCAGTTATGCAACAGCTCTGTACTAATGCGAACCCAAACATCAGGAATGTTTTGATTGTGAAAAACGCCTTGTTATCGCACATTAGAGACTGCATCAGGGCTTGTTTACATCTGCTTCTCTAAGAGTACATGCTGAGGCATCAGTGACAGGCAGGAAATATAGTAAATGTGGGTTTCCATTGTTCGCATCTCTTGATCTCTTTACCCTACTTGAACTCATAAAAACAGAGCTCTGTAGGTCTGTATCCAGATGATGTCAGCAAGTAGACAAAAGACCAGCTGATGCTGCAAAATGAACATCACAACACACACACACACACACACACACATTTACATAAACACATATTACATTTAATATACCTGCACATGTAGACTCATACATGCTCATTGTTTTGATGTAGCAAGTGAGATGTTTTGTTGAACCGCGCACTGTCACTGCACAGCTTCCTCTTTCCCCATTCTCTGTTTAGGTGGGGGTTGTTATACCGTGTCTGCACGCCAACATGTGTATTAAGATGTATTGAAAATAAACATCCCTGGACAATCAAAACAGAGGCTCAACTTTTTATATGGTGCCCACGAATCACAAATGATTTTCTTCTGTCCTTCAGAAATTTCCAACCTATTAGTGATGACCAGAGACCGAGAGCCCGCCCCACAGAGACAACATCAAGTCAGCCAGCTGAGTTTCCACCGCATCCTTAAGGAGGAGATTGTACAGGTGATATTTTCATGGATTTTGAACCAATCATACTGTCGACTTTTTGCATGGCATGCTTTTAAGAAATAAAATTAAATATAGAAATGGTCAAAAATCTACTGTACACATTCGTAAAAGGGTGTTTCATAGTTGGTGAGTGAAAATGTACTGGCTGTGGAACTATTTATATTTTTTATTATACTTTTATTAAAGTATATAGACATATGACATGCAAGTTATTGTACCCTACAGTGTATAATAATCTGGAGTCTGTAAGATTTAAAGAAATTAATACTTTTCTCAAGAATTAATAAAATTGATGAAAAGTTAAATTTCAACTTTTCAACATTATAAGAAATGGTTCTTGAGCACCAAATCCGCATATTGCAATACTTTCTGAAGGATAATAGAACTGTTTGTACTGTATTTTTGCTCAAATAAATGCAGCCTTGGTGAGCATAAGATACTTTTTTCCAAAATCTTTCCAACCCCAAACATTTGAACAATAGTGTATGTAGTAACAGATGTTTTCTTTGTAGTCGCCATTTTCATTTGAATCACTCACATCATTACATCAGCAAGGATCAGGTTCTTACAATCCAAAATGCAGTTTACTATGTAAACTATGAGCAAGATGTTTCACTATAGGTTACTGTGAAGGGTTTGTCTCTGAAATTGACAAAAAATTGTATGCTATGAATAAAAGTTTGTTAAATGACTACCTGCTTACTCATGTGTTAACCTTGTCTTCACATGACATTGTGGTTTTTATTCAGGGTGAGCATTTGGGTAGGGGTACGAGGACCAACATCTATGCTGGTGTTCTAAAGCTGAAGAGTGAGGATGATGAGGACATGGGAGGATACTCACAGGAGATGAAAGTGGTCTTGAAAGTGTTGGGCTCTGGACATCGAGATATCTCTCTGGTAAGACGCACATGTGGAATTACATGGCTTACTCATTTCTAAATTAAGTTTAGCAAACAAGATTATTGATTTCAGCTGTTGTAACGTTACCATCTCCTGACAGTCTTCATCATTTGTAAGTTGCTTTGGGTGAAAGCCCATGCTTAATGAATAAATGGAAACCTAATTGTGGTCATTTTCAACTGTAATGAACCACGAGGGGATTTGAATTGAATTTTCCACATTATCTCTACTCCCAGTATTGTTTCATTAGTGTGGTTATTTTTTTAAAAGTATGTTAAAAGTATATCTTTCTCGGTCTCCTCTCAGGCTTTCTTTGAGACAGCTAGCATGATGCGCCAGATCTCTCATAAACACATCGCCCTGCTATACGGAGTGTGTGTTCGCCATCAGGAGAGTAAGTACCCCACTCTTACTTGTCTTTAGTGTGTAGCTAGTTTGGCCTTCAACCTGCCACATTTATTGCTTCATCTAGTGATATTGACAGTCTTTTAAAAAATACACGACATGACTTTAAAAATCTGAACAGATTTTAATGTCTGTTGTGTTGTAGTGTGTGTGTGAGAGGCATCATACGTTTGCCGACTTAGAAATAGTTAAAAAAAAACTGGACATCACTACCAGACTTTCACATGGTTTCGAACACGCTGTAAATCTGGGCAAAAGCTGTTTGGTGTATTATTCTAGCCTTAAGTAATTGACATCTGTTTCCAGACAGAGGACACAAATCTTAAAGACACGGTCTTAGAACTAGAACTTTTGGTTTTCTTTTATTCTGTTCTGTTGTGGTTTTGCATGACAAGTATGAGAAATAGGTCAGTCTTTTTATTGCCAGCAATCGTAGGCACTGGTGCAAAAGTAATTTATTTATTTACAATGAGAACATAGACACTGTCATTCTCCACCTGAGCGTGTAGATCTGGCACACTGGCAGTGTTATATTTCCAAGAGAAAACACAATTAAAACATTTCCTTGTTGATAGAAAATCACAGAGAAATCAAAAACTAAATCATTGCTTTGGTAGGAACGTAGTGTTAAATGAGAAAATATTAACATAGAGTCTAACTGGATACAATTTTTGCTTTATGCTTCTGTGGCATGTAAATGTTTCATAAATGCTATTTTTGTGAGGAGGAAGCTGCAAACAAACACAAAGCTCCATTCGATTGTTAAGCAAAGCCTGCAGGTTAGCACACTGAGCAACAAACCTGAGGATAACTGCCTATGTGCACGCGATGGGTGTGTCTGCGAAGAAGAATTTGCATATGCGAGCAGGAACCGTGTTTGTGTGTCAGAGAGAAAGAGAATTTGATAACGGTGCTCATTTGCATAAAATACCATGTGCCTCTCTCTTCCCTCTCTCTGTCTGTAGATATCATGGTGGAGGAGTTTGTTCAGTATGGTCCTCTGGATCTGTTCATGCGCAGACAGAGTATACCTCTCAGCACCGCTTGGAAGTTCCAGGTTGCCAAACAGTTGGCTAGTGCCCTCAGCTATCTGGTAAAGAAACAAACACAAAAACAAATGCACAAAACCTTGCCTTATCAATCTTAATGCGAGACACTACAGGCAAAAACACAATTTTTTAATGCACCTGTCAGTTTTGAGATTTTGGGCTTTTTGGCTTTACACAAAGTATTTTTCAGACTAGTGGAAAGAAAACATGCAAAATACACTTTGGAGTGTTTCTATTATAGCACTTTTTAACTATTTGTGTCTGTAGATTTCAATTACAATACATATCTTCAAAGACTGTTTTCTCAAAATGAGATTTTTCTCCTGTACTGAGCCAAGAATCTCCACTTCAGTAACACTCAGATACACCAAACTTTAGTTTTATTCCTATCTATATTCTGAAGGTTTTTACAGAGCAGTTTTTCATATATAATTTATACATTTTATACAACATTTTATTCCTAAAAAAAATGCTAAAAAAAAAATTCTGGCTGTTGTCAGTATTTTCTGATTTATAGAGTGATAAAAAGAGATATCTAAAACCCCCTCTGTAAAAACCTTTAATATGTCAACAAAATGAAACAAGAATTTTGAACCTGGCTTCATCCAGTGTGTATGCAAATTAGTGCATATTTAATTAGATAACACCTCATTTGCATATTTAAGTATACCATTTCAGAAAACATGTAATACAAAAATGTTTGTAATTCTTAATATATTCAATCAACTGGGTTATTTTTTTACCCTTTTCATCTGGGGTGTAGAAATAAATAAGTCAGTTATATGGGGATGCACCGTATTTAAATACTTAACTATATGCTGATATTTATGGAAGCCCGTTTCCGCCACTGAATAAAAAATAAAAAAGCTAATTGAGACTTTTTATCTCACAATTCTGACTTTTTTTCTCATAATTGCGTGATACAAACTCGCAATTCGGACTTTTTTTCTCAGAATTGCTTGATATAAACTCGCAATTGCGAGTTAAAAAGTCCTAATTGTGAGATATAAACTCGCAGTTCTGAGAAATAGTCAAAATGGCATGATATAAACTTGCAAAGCTTGTTTTTGTGATATAAACTTGTAAACTTGCGAGACATAAAGTCGCAATTCTGAGAAATAATGTCAGAACTGCAAGATATAAACTGACTTTTTTCTCATAATTGCGAGTTTATATCTCGCAATTCTGACTTTATAACACGCAATTGCGAGTTATAAAGTCAGAATTGTGAGAAAAAAAGTCAGAATTGCGAGATATAAACTCGCAATTATGAGAAAAAAAATCAGAATTGTGCGTTTATATCACGCAATTCTGACTTTATAACTCGCAATTTCGAGTTTATATCTCACAATTTTGTGAAAAAAGTCAGAATTGTGAGATAAAGTCGCAATAACCTTTTTTTTTTATTCACTGGTAGAAATGGGCTTCCATAGATATTGACTGAAAACGAATAAATAATTAATATTATAAATCTGTTCTAATTTTTATTGATAAACTGTCTAATAAACATGTTAAATTAGTTTTATATAGTTCAAGTGAACTCACAAAAGTATAAAATACACTGCTGTTCAAAAGGTTCTGGTCAATACGATTTTTGAAAGTAATTACTTTTTGATCTAATTTGATCAAATGTGATAGTAATGACATTTTATCATTTTACAAAAATATTTATATTTTAAACAAATGCTGTTCTTTTGAAAATTCTATTCATCAAAGAATCCTTAAAAAAGAAATTCCATCATGTTTTCTCGAGTACCAAATCAGCATTAAAGACTGGAGTAATTGCTGCTGAAAATTCAGCGTTGCCATAACTGGACTAAATTACATTTACATAATAGTTTAAAATAGAAAACTAGAAGTGTTTTAAATTTTAATAATATTTCACAATATTACGGTCTTCTGTATTTTGTATAATATTTTGTGTATTAATATTTTCACAATTATTCATATTTGAACTTGTAAATGTATCAAATTTGATCTGTTAAGCAACATAGTGTAACATCAAAGAATCCTTAAAAAAGAAATTCCATCATGTTTTCTCGAAAAGTAATTGCTGCTGAAAATTCAGCGTTGCCATAACTGGACTAAATTACATTTACATAATAGTTTAAAATAGAAAACTAGAAGTGTTTTAAATTGTAATAATATTTCACAATATTACGGTCTTCTGTATTTTGTATAATATTTTGTGTATTAATATTTTCACAATTATTCATATTTGAACTTGTAAATGTATCAAATTTGATCTGTTAAGCAACATAGTGTAACATCAATAAAAGTTATTGTAAAATGTGAATAATGTGAGTGCTGTTTGTATCCTGTAGGAGGACAAGAAGCTGGTTCATGGATATGTGTGCAGTAAGAACATTCTGGTGGCTCGAGATGGTCTGGATGGAGAGGGAGGAACCTTCATCAAGCTGAGTGACCCTGGCATACCCATTACTGTCCTTAGCAGAGAAGGTGAGAGATTCATTATAACACACTATAAACATTCACACAGGTATTATTATAGTTTTACCTTAACAGCATGTTAACACATTATCAAGGAATTGATAAATGTCTTCATAACCTTTAAATAACACCTCTTATGCGAGCATTATGATATTAATGCATTGTATTTATATAAGCATTATGACCAGCTTATTAATATGTAATCAGCCTGCTTATAGCCATGACCACCTTTTCAGATTGTTAGCATATTATCAGCCTTCATATAGGCATCAAGTTCATCTTATTAATGCTGTATGTCAAATCTAGAAGATTAGATATTAATCAGAAAGATTTTATAGTTATTGTAAATTTTTTATAGTTTATTTTAACATGGCGTTTGATACAATAAATAAATAATTTATAAATATTAATACATCATTTTAAATAAATGAACTTAAATGATCTAATAATTATTTAAATATTTATATTACTGCCCACATGAGGTTGAGAGATTTTGTACAATATATGCATTTATAATAGTATTGTATATGGAAAGAGTTATATGGGTAAAATGTCAAATATTATTGAGTGTCTATCCAGGATAAATGCATCTGAGTCAGTGTGGTGGATCTAATAGTTGAGCTCTATTGGACTGTGAAAATGGACTGCTCGGAAAAGATAACTGACAGGAATTTTGTTGGCTGAGATCCAGCTCAGATCCCTGAAGCACTTTTAGAAACCAGAAAAGCTCTTTGTTTGCTGTGTGCCAGGGACTGTTACAGGAAAGACTGGTTGTGTGTTTTTTTTGGGGTGGTGGTGTGCGTGCTTGAGAAAGGGGAATGAAAGGGATTGTAAATTTTGTATAGTTTATTTTAACATGGCGTTTGATACAATAAATACATAATTTATAAATATTAATACATCATTTTAAATAAATTAACTTAAATGATCTAATAATGATTTAAATATTTATATTACTGCCCACATGAGGTTGAGAGATTTTGTACCATATATGCATTTATAATAGTATTGTATATGGAAAGAGTTGTATGGGTAAAATGTCAAATATTATTGAGTGTCTATCCAGGATAAATGCATCTGAGTCAGTGTGGTGGATCTAATAGTTGAGCTCTATTGGACTGTGAAAATGGACTGCTCGGAAAAGATAACTGACAGGAATTTTGTTGGCTGAGATCCAGCTCAGATCCCTGAAGCACTTTTAGAAACCAGAAAAGCTCTTTGTTTGCTGTGTGCCAGGGACTGTTACAGGAAAGACTGGTTGTGTGTTTTTTTTGGTGTGCGTGCTTGAGAAAGGGGAATGAAAGGGGCACAGAGAGGGATTGAGTTGAGCAGAGAGATCACGTGTTAGATGAAATGCCTTTTTAAAAGACTTAATAGCTTGTAAAGATGACAGCAAAGATGACTGTTGAAACTACAATGTGTGTTTGAATAAGGAAATGGTTGTGGAAAGCACCTAAAATGAGGATTTACCAAATAAAATCCAGCTTGGTGGTTTGAGTGTTAGTTTTAAGTCACTTGATTTAAAAAAAATCTAGTCTAGAATGTTGTTCTTGCATGAGTCAAGTCAAGTCAAGTCTGCTTTATTGTCAATTCTTCCACATGTACAGCACATACACACAGAGAATTGAAATTGCGTTACTCTCAGACCCTTGGTGCATACAGATAACACTAACAGTAGAACATAAATACAGATATACAGATTAAGTATAAAATACAACTATACAAATATACAAATAAGGTCAAATGTAAAAAAATATATAAAATGACATTATGCTTTGTGCGTGTCTACAGAGTGTGTGGACAGGATTCCTTGGATTGCTCCCGAGTGTGTACAGGACACGGCTAATCTGAGCATAGCAGCGGATAAGTGGGGCTTTGGGACAACTCTGTGGGAGATCTGTTACAACGGAGAGATACCTCTCAAAGACAAAAAGCTCACAGAGGTAACCGCATACATTACACGTACACTGTTAGACACGTGTATGTGTAAGCATGATCTTTTCTGTGCTGATAAATGATGCCTTTTTCTCGTTTGTCATCTCTCTGAGCAGAAGGAGAGGTTTTACGCAGCGCAGTGTCAGCTGGCCACACCTGACTGTGAGGAGCTGGCCAAACTCATGACCCACTGTATGACCTACGACCCTCGCCAGAGACTCTTCTTCAGGGCCATCGTCAGAGACATTGACATGGTGGAGAAACAGAGTAAGGAAAAGGAATCGGCTCAAACAGATGAAAGAGATAAACACTAGATTAGTTATTAAAAATGTACCAAAATAATACATTTATTCTCCATACTGACCTCTTGTGGTTAGTACCAAGTGCTACATTCATCTTGCTAAAAGTATTAAACATGTTTTACCCCTAAAGTCCATTTTCAATGTTTAAGGTTTCTTTCACCTACACTATCGTTGAAAAAAGAGTGGGGTCAGTATGTTATTTTTTAAGAAATAATGCTTTTATTTAGTAAAGACACATTAAACTTAGCAAAATTGACAGTGAAGACATAAACAGATTATAATGTTACAAAAAGACATTATAATGTTACAAAAAGTTTATAATTTTACAAAAAATAAATTTCAAGTTCTTTCGAACTTTCTATTCTTTAAAGAGTTCTGAAAAAATATAACACTGTAGACTGGAGTAATGGCGGCTGAAAATTCAACTTTGCCATCACAGGACAAAATGACATTTGAAAATATGCAGTATTGAAATAGAAAACAGTTCTTTTAAATTATAATAATATTTCACACTATTATTGTTATACCATATTTATGATTAAGTAAATGCAGCATTGCTGAGCATAAGAGATTTCTTTCAAAAATATTATAAACATCATTACAGACCCCAAACCTTTGAACGGTAATGTAGATCAGTTGTAGTTAGGCTTCTATGACTATTTCTACTCTACTTTAGAGTTTTGCAGTAGAGTTTTTGCTACTGTACCTTTAAGATATCTATATGTTCAAGACCTCTGTTAGGATTGACTGTTCTCTATGTACTGTTGTAGTTTACTCCGTTTTCTATTTAATGTCCTCTTTAATATTTTCTCTCTAGATCCTTCCATTCAACCTGTTCCCATGCTAGAGGTGGACCCTACAGTGTTTGAGAAGAGGTTCCTCAAAAAGATTAGAGATCTTGGAGAGGTATTTTTTCTGTGTGTGAATTGTGTCCTTAAACTCATCAAGAACAAACTGCTTATTTCGTTGGCCATCTGCTGGTTGGACTGAAGTACATCCTTGTGTTTTCAGGGTCATTTTGGAAAGGTGGAGTTGTGCAGGTATGATCCGCGGGGAGATCGGACCGGAGAGCTGGTGGCCGTGAAATCTCTAAAGCCGGAGAACCGAGAAGAGCAGAGCAGTAACCTGTGGCGTGAGATTCACATCCTGAGAGAACTTTACCACGAGAACATTGTCAAATATAAGGGCATCTGCCATGAAGAAGGTAAACCACAAATCTGAACATCATAAATAATATAACACTGTAATGGCTTTTGGTGCCAAGTGCACGAGTTGGTTGAGTAAATCTTGTTTTTGTTTTAAGGTGGGAGATCCATTAAGCTAATCATGGAGTTTTTGCCGGCAGGCAGTCTGAAGGAATACCTCCCCAGAAACAAAGCTCACATAGACCTTAAAACCCTGCTCAGCTATGCTGTACAGATCTGCCAGGTAACATCAGATTTGAATGGTTTATGTGGTTTATGGTGCTTCAATAGTTATCCAAAATAGTGACTATTTTTGGTATTTACCCCTAAAACACACACGGACACACTGAAACAAAGATGTAATGAAAAAAACCCCCAGAAATAATCACAAACAAACAAGAAGCAAAATAAAAAAGTGCTCTATTCATTCGTGTGCTTTAATACAAGAAAATGGCACAGCCGATGAAAAAAGACTGCACTTATATTAAAATAAAACTTGTCAGATATAGTAAAACATTCACTTTAATGCAAAATACATGCCATCTGATAAAATAAATTTAATTTGCATTAATGCATTGACATAGTAAGTGATAGTGTGATATGGAAATACACTGTAGTATAATTAAAAATAATAGAGGTAGATTGTGTAATTTGCTGCAGTTTCAATTGCAATCAAATTATGAGTTATTGGGTTTGGTAAGAGTTTTTAAATAATTCTCTTAGGCTGCATTTATTTGATCAAAAATACAGTAAAAAGGTATTATTGTGAAATCTTATTACAATTTAAAATTATTTTAATGTAGTATATTTTAATATGTAATAAATTCCTGTGATGTCAAAGCTGAATTTTCAGCAGTTTTCGGTGTCACATGATCCTTCAGAAATCATTTTAATATACTGATTTTATGCTCAGGAAACATTATTTTTTAATGTTGAAAACAGTTGCATAATATTTTTGTGCAAACCTTGATATATTTTATTTCCAGAATTCTATGAAGTTCAGAAGAGCAGCATTTATTTAAAATAGATATATTTTTTTTAACAATGTAAGGCTTTAATGTCCTTTTTGATCAATTGTATGTGTCGTAGCTAAATAAAAGTATTAATTTCTCACAAAAAAAATGATACCTCATATATATTTTCTCATAATGCAAATGTCGATACTCGGTGATATATTCGTTCATAAATATTGTATCCATTTTGTCAACAGCATTGCTTATTTTTGCTCTGCTTGTTTGTTGTCCTCTTGTACTCCGAGACCAACAATAACAACAGCTGCTTACAGTGATCCTTTGTGATTCCTGAGCCCATATGTTCTGTTTGAAATACAGACCCGCGCTGTAACATTATGCTCACCCTTGCCGTTTTCTGACCTCTTAACTCCAGGGCATGGACTACCTGGGCTCTCGCAACTACATCCACAGAGACCTGGCAGCCCGGAATGTTCTGGTGGAGAATGAAAACACGGTAAAGATCGGAGACTTCGGCCTGACCAAAAGCATTAAGGATAATGAGGGTTATTACACTGTGAAAGATGATCTGGACAGTCCAGTGTTCTGGTAAGAATCACTCATTAGAGGCCTTGCAGTGACCAAATACATTAACCTAGATCTCCATTTAATCTAATATGAACCATGTGCGTTGGTGATGTCATGTATCCATTATTGCGTGTAATTTTGAAATTCCCTTTGGGAAATCCACTTTGTAATGATTCTTTTCTTCATTTTCCCAGGTATGCTCCAGAGTGCCTGATCCACTGCAAATTCTACAGGGCGTCTGACGTCTGGTCTTTTGGAGTGACCATGTATGAGCTGCTCACATACTGTGATACCTCATGCAGCCCTATGTCGGTAAGTGGCCAGTCCGATGTTTTTAGCCCTGTCCCAAAAGCCTTAAGCCATTGCATACTTGCTCCAAGTCCCCACTTCGGTGATGTAATTTGCATATGAACACCCATTTGAAACCTGAAATGATAAATGGGACATCACATGATGGCCATCACAAGTCCCCTACACATTCTGTCAAAAAAAGCAGTTGCACAGTAGTCTGGAATCTGGAATTAGTTTGTTTCTTAATTTAGTATCTTGATTTTCTTGATTGGGTATCAAACAAACAGTGATATTTTAATATCATTGAGATAGTATCATAAAATATACTATTATAGTATTTTTATATTTTCTGCTTTCAGGTTAGTGAAAGGTTTTAGTTAAGGTTTTACAAATTTTGCTGTGGGTTTTTGTCATTTTTATTAGTTTTTGTTGTTTTTAAATGTCTGTTTTTAAAAATATTTTTATTTTAGTTTTAGTTATTTTAGTACATCAAGTTATAAATCAAAATGAGATGTATTTCAGTTAAAATTATTTTTCAGAGATATTTCGGTTAAAATGTATTTTCATTTTAAGTAATGAAAATGTTTTTATGGTTTTAGTTTAGTAACTATAGTAACCCTGGTATCAAATAAAATGTTTTATCATAATAACAGCGGAGCTTCCTGTCAGTAGGCAAGGCAAGTTTATTTAGCACATTTCACAAAGTGCTATAAACAAAAATAAAAAATAGTAATAGTTAAAAGGTAAATAAAAATACAATAAAAATAATTGAATAAAAGAATAAATAAATTTAAATGAAAATAAGGTATTAAAATAATAGGAAGATTAAAATAATACCACAAATATCAGTAATACCACAAAATATAACAGCTGCACTTAGAACAGACTAATGTAATTAGTAATAGTTAAAAGGTAAATAAAAATACAATAAAAATAATTGAATAAAAGAATAAATACATTTAAATGAAAATAAGGTATTAAAATAATAGGAAGATTAAAATAATACCACAAATATCAGTAATACCACAAAATATAACAGCTGCACTTAGAACAGACTAATGTAATTATTTTTATGCAAATGTGTTCTGTAAATATTTCCTTATGTAAGTATTTTACTTTTGATTGCATTTCTAATTCAGTGTTTGATTATAAGCAGCAGGAGGGCAATACAGATTTGTTGCGAAGCACTTCTTAGAAAGCCCATGTTCATTTCTGTAGGCTGGAAGAAGCCCTTGCTTAGGAGGTGCTGATGAGTCTGTGTCTCTGAGAACATGGCAGATGGTGCCAGTCTGTGCCCACAGTGGCAGATGTCTTAGCCAACGGCTGCACACCAATCCCCACTTTTTTCTGTGTGCCGCTTTTGGAGGAAACTTTGTTATTGAGGGATTTGTCCGATTTTCACATTGAACACAATGCAGATGCACAATGTAATGCTTCCTCACCCACTGAAAGCATTAGAGGTGGTTTACTAGAGGAGACATGGATGAATGTTTAATACCTCAGCGCTTAATTGTAAATCAGGCCAGTGACCCCACTTTTCTCCACCCCCACAGGTGTTCCTTAAGATGATTGGTCCAACACATGGCCAGATGACTGTTACACGATTGGTCAAAGTCCTGGAGGAGGGAAAGAGACTTCCAAAACCAGACGGCTGCTCAGACAGGGTAATATATAGCTTTACTAAAACAAAATGGTGTGTATTTATATTACCGTTTGAGTATTTTTTTTTTCTCTGGAATTTTTTTTTTCTTTTTGCAAGGATATATACAGAGTTCTGGCATGAAACTCTAGATGGCGCAGTCTGATAGGTCTAACTCAATCTGACCTAATGACATCATTATCACATGGCACAGCTGATTTGTTCTGTCCTGTATCGGTAGCCAATGAGCTCGCTGCTTAACATTCAAATATATGACTAGTAGAGTTGTCATGACAGAAATTACATTTATCAAAAGTAATAGTGAATACATTTAAAATGTTTTAAAAGATTGTTTCAAATAAATGCCATTGTTTTTAACTTTCTATTTAAAAAATCCTGAAAAAAATATATCATGGTTTCCGCTAAAATATGAAGCAGCACAACTGTTTTAAACATTGATAATAAGAAATGTTTCTTAAGCAGCAAATGAGCATATTACAATGATATCTAAGGATCATGTGGCACTGAAGACTGGAGTTAAGACTGCTGAAAATTAAACTTAGTCATCACAGGAATAACATTTCTAAATATGTTAACATAGAAAACAGGTATTTTTAATTGTATTGTTTCAGTTTTACGGTTTTTACTGTATTTTTAGATAAAAAAAAAACAGACTTGCTGAGCTCAAATCTCAAAAACAAAGCAAAAAAATTAAAAAATAAATACTGACCTCAAACGTTTGAACGGTAGTGTATGTTACATTATATACAATATATATTGGTGTAATAATACAGACTTGCTGAGCTCAAATCTCAAAAACAAAGCAAAAAAATTAAAAAATAAATACTTACCTCAAACGTTTGAACAGTAGTGTATGTTACATTATATACAATATATATTGGTGTAATAATATTTTATTTAAAGTAACCTCTGAGATCTTAAGTAATGATAGAGAATTCTAAGGAATTCTAGTCGGCACCCACACATGCAACAGAAGTCTAAGGAGCAACCGTTGCCTAAAAGACTTCCATTAGATGTCAAGATGTTTTTAACTGTCAAGACTGTTTTACAAACTGTCAAACTTTTCATTTTCGGCCGGTAACTGACAGTGTGCCGTACGTGGGAATGGGTCTTTTATCTTTGAGCAAACATAATTCTTAAATTTCATTTATTTACATATGTGTACTTTTTTTGTGAAGTATGCATCTTTTTATTTAAATGTAAATTGCTTACTTTAAAACATAAGGTCTTTTATCTTTGAGCAAACATAATTCTTAAATTTCATTTATTTACATGTGTACTTTTTTTGTGAAGTATGCATCTTTTTATTTAAATGTAAATTGCTTACTTTAAAACATATTCTTTAAATTAATATTTGTATTTTTTTATTTATGTAGTTAAATTAATAATGGTATACATATTTTCTGCTTTATTAACATTTTGCAATTTTACAAAACCCCTTGTAGCCATGCCTTGGTTGTAAATCCTGCCATAGGATATTTCCTGCTTTATGAATTGCAGAATCACAGGTTTCTTTTATGATGGTTCAGGGTTAGATGATTAATCAGCAGGTATGAGCTGCACTCCAGGGCTTGTGTCTGATTGTAATCTTTCGTGTTTTGACAGTTGTACAGTCTGATGAGGAAATGCTGGGAGGCGACACCTGAAAAACGGATCGACTTCAAAGGCCTGATTGCCGACTTTCAGCAGATGATTGACGATCTGTAACTATGGAAATAAGATGGGATGCAGAATCCACCTCTTTTGCAAGAGGAAGTCCCAGACAGACAAAATCCCCCACATCCCAAGAAAAAAAAAAAGTATAACTGTGCAGTGTAGCACTCTTTCAATATACTCTCCTTCCCTCACTGTTATGACCTCATAGATAAACTGCAGACCTTTTGAAATAGCCAAAAAGAAACCGCTAGAACCACTGAAGCAGACAGTAGACGCTGTCTGGTCTCTCTCTCTGAATATGCAAATATGTAACTGCCAGTCTCCAGTCGCTCATTTTTCTCTTCAAGTTCAAATGCAGACCAGATTGGTGCAAAAAGGTGAATTTTGACTCGTGACACTCTCAGCTTCATACTGTGCCTCAGCAGCCACCATGATGCATGTATGAATAACCCATAATTTCCCAAGGTGCATTACAGCATGCGCTGTATGGATTCAGCCCATCGTGAGGCATATGCAACGACAGAGACTTGAACCCTGTTGTTCTTTGGAAGATGAGGAAGAAACGTGTCGGAATGTAGATTTGCATGTGTGGTTGATGGTTTGGAGCTTTTATTGAGTGGATTGTGCCACTTCTCGAGACTATTGACGTGCAAAGTATGCGGAGACTGTAGGTTTGTCTGACTTGGAGCGGACAGCTGTCCTCCTTGGAAAATTCCAAACGTGCTGGATTACCGGAGAACTTTGAAACCGTCAAGTTGCACTATGCTGCCACATTCTCATAACTGCGGAATGTAGATTTACATGTGTGGTTGATGGTTTGGAGCTTTTATTGAGTGGATTGTGCCACTTCTCTTGAGACTATTGACGTGCAAAGTATGCGGAGACTGTAGGTTTGTCTGACTTGGAGCGGACAGCTGTCCTCCTTGGAAAATTCCAAACGTGCTGGATTACCGGAGAACTTTGAAACCGTCAAGTTGCACTATGCTGCCACATTCTCATAACTGTACTTCCTCTCTGAGCTTCACATTTGCCACGGAAAACTTAAGCGGATGATTCTGAGAACATGGGTTTAATTAAATGCCTAAAATGGGCACTAGGGGGCAGCAGAGCTTATGAGAGAGAGAGAGAGAGATATATATATATATATATATATATATATATATA